GACAGACGAACACACATACACACACACACACACACACACACACAGACAACCTCTCGTCAATATGCGTTTCCTGCACTGCATAGCTGCAAAAAACGCATAAAAATATGTTTTCTTTTTTTCTTTGCCATCTGCAGCATGCTTATGAAAAAATGCTGTCACACACTACTTCGGGTGGCTTCTGAAAGCAAATTTCTGACAGGTTTCTTAGATTTTCCGTTGTTTGTTTCAGCCTCATTATTATATGGGAAAGCGCATACTTCTCATCTGGATGATTTGGCCGATGCAGCGGCGGCAGCAGCAGCTGCTGCTGCTGCGACAACGGCGGTTTCTCAGGGTAGTAGATCTGTTGAAAGTAGAACCAGGCTGCTGTACCATCGCCAGTCGGAGCAGTCCCTTCAGCGTATTGTAAAAGAGGTCAGCAAATTGCTTTTCACACTTTTCACGTCTAATTAACATTGTTTACTGCTAACGAGTTTGGAGCAGAACGCAGCGCAGTGATCTGTTTTCTGGTAAGCAAAGCGGCGATGGTTCGTCACGAAGCCAGTCCATCTTCGATTTCTCGTCTGGTGGCCATCAAAAGTCGAAAATACCGACGGGAAAAGATCTCAAATATCTGTGAAGATGTAAAAAACTGAAAAAAGTGAAACATAATTTTATTTAGCAGCAGAATCAGATAGAAACGAAATTTAATTCCATCCTCCCTCGCTTACTTGAGCAACCCCCATTTATCGTGATGTTGTTTAATGCATTTATTTTTAGCTTACCAAACTGTAGCAAAAGGAATCATCCAAAACTCATTTCCTTCCTCAGGTCACCGTTGGGTACGTACCACTGATACGCCAGAAGCAAAAGTGGTAACTGGGGAAAATGGCGTTCAATAAAAATACCGAAACCTTATTTGGGCGCCAAAAGTTCCAAAATTAACGATTAATGAGACGGGGGTTTCTCTATTCGCCCATGACGCTCTTCCAAAAAGCACCATGCGTGTCATGTATACTCACAAAGAACAAGCAAAAATTGAAAACTGTGGGACAGGCAAGCACTGTAAGAAATATGTGACTGCCATACAAACAAACTCCAACTGGTAGTTGTGCAGCCCAAGGAGCAGTAGTGTAATGGATAACATGTCACAGTTCGAAAGATCCAAAGTAACTGGAAATGAATCAGTTCACGGGGATTCTACGACCCTTTACAAGCTGGGTCCGAGCATGATATTTCGAGAGGCTTTTCTGATGAGCTTATTTTTCCACGCTTTAGTTTTGGCTTGCAAAATCCAGCACATTTGATGGAAAACGTTGATAAAATGTGTTAATACGAATGCTTGTGACATGGCAGCTATGAAAATCCAAATTTCCTTCCTCCTTGCCAAACAAGATCACGGAATTATCTGTTTTCCCCCCTCAGCAAACCGCTGCCTCCTCTCTCCTTCCGCTCTGTTATCGCCTCCCCGAAATGGTAACTTTAAGATGTGCATTGTCCCTGTTTTTGTAATTTCCATCCGTTTTGCGAAATTTTCAACAATCAAAAAAATGCGGGACAC